GCCCCCCCGCCCCGGCCACGGCCAGTGGTTGCTGCCTCCCCGCAGGAGAACGTCGAGTACCTGGTGCAGGAGCTGCGGCGGCCCAAGTACAGCGTCTACTTCATCTGTGAGTCCTTCGTGCCGGGAGATGCCGGGAGCAGCCCCCTCGGTTATCAGTGTATATAAGTGCCTCAAGGGAGGGAGCACAGAGGATGGTGCTGGTCTCTTTGCACTGGTGGCCACCGACACAACTAGAGGAAACGGCCCCAAACGGAAGCACCAAAAGTTCCACAGGAACTTCAGGAAAAATCCCTTCCCAGTGAGGGTGCCAGAGCCCTGGAACAGGCTGCCCAGAGAGGTTGTGGAGTCTCCTTCTCTGGAGATCTTCAAACCCGCTTGGCCGCAGCCCTGTGCCACGTGCTCTAGGTGACCCTGCGTGTGCAGGGGGCTGCACTGGATGATCCCTAGAGCTCCCTTCCAACCCTAAACATTCTATGATTCTATGATTCTATAATGCATCCAGGCAATGTGGAAAAGGTGCTCTGTTTTTTCCTCTGTTAAGATCTCCTGTCAAGCCCTCTTTCCAAAGAGTATGTATAAAGAAGATAAAGTGACTAAACTGCAAGAGCTTCCTTTACAAAGGAGCATCCTAGCTATGTATTGCTCTGACATCTGTTGTTCTGGAGAAATTCTGGGGTTTTGAAGCATTACGTTGCTTTGTAAATGCAAAGGGAGTCAAAGTACCTTTTCTAATGTGGAAACCTGAGATGCACAGAATGAAAGGTTGACCCCAGTTTTGAAAGTCAATAATATTGGAGTCCGTATTGGGAATAGTGCCCACATGGCAGTGTTGGTGGACAGCAGCTCGGGAGGTGTGGGTAACACATGCTGTGTTGGCACCACAGAATATCTCTTAGTTTGGGGATTTCGGTGGAAGAGCTGTTGAGTTTTGCGCTGGAGCCCGCTCCTCTAGGCGCATGCTCCGCGTCCGCCGGGCCGATGGAGCCAAGCAGCCTCTAGATGTCATTGTGGATCCGCAGGAGCGCGAGGGATGCGGGTTTGGAAGCATTGTGGGGACCTCGCGCACGCAGATGCAGCAGCACCCAGGGGCTTCTGTCAGGAAATGTAACGGTGCCTTTACCTTCTATCTCTGCCAAGTGCAATAGTGTTGTTAGCTCAGGAAGAGGGCAGGAGGGCTCTGTCTTTGCCCACGTTGGCCCTGTGCTGTGCTCATACATTAGATATGAGCAATGGGGGCAGCAAGTTGGAGGGCGAATCAGTCCAGAATAAGTAAAGGAGCAGCTGAGTTATATTGCCTGCAGAATAACTGTAGGGAGAAAGTCAATAATCTGTGTTGCAATGCTCATTTTCTCTCATTTTCTGGGGGAAACCCAGTCATATTGTAGAGTGATTTTTTTTTTCTTGTGTTACATGTTATTCCTAGAGGCTGACTGCTCTCTTGCTGTTGTTTTCTTTCAGATTTCAGTAACGTGATCAGTAAGAGTGATGTCAAGTCGTTAGCTGAGGCCGACGAACAGGAAGTTGTGGCAGAAGTTCAGGTGAATTTTGGACGCCTCGCGCAGAATCTCCTCGCTAGCAAAGCGAACGTGCAAGCTGAGTAACTCAGGTGTGGCTCAGGGCAGTATGCAGAAACCCTGCGCTGTCTAGGAGAGGAAGCAAAGGGGATTGTACACGTGAGGCTTAAAAAAAATATAAGAAAGAAAACAATGTGTGTCCTCTGTTCCTCCTCGCCCTCGGGTTGCCAGCGCTTCTGCTGGTGGTGGTAGTGCCTGGCTTTCAGCACGGCTGCTGCTGCTCTCTGTGGTATTGGCAGAGAGCTGCGATTGCAAAAAACCAACACGGCAGCAGAAGTGCAGGGATTTGCGAGGCTGGGCCTGCAGGAAGGAGAGATGATCGGATTCCAGGGTCTGCACGTTGCTGAGGGTTTTAGTGTTAACACTGATGTTGGAGCACTTAGTCCTGGAGGCTGAATTAGGGTTGGCGAGATGCTTAACTGTATTTGCTTTCGCTTGTTGGCAGGAGTTCTACGGAGATTACATTGCTGTGAATCCACATGTTTTTTCTCTCAACCTCCTGGGCTGCTGCCAGGTATGAATAAAAGCTAATGCTCCTCCAGGGCCTTGTTTTATGGTTAATGGAGAGGCCAGCACAACACCCTGGGCACTGTGGTGACTTGCCCAGCGGGCACATTGCTGTTCACAGTCTGTAAGGGGTAGCTGATCCTTAAAAACAGTTGGCAAGGAGGGGCACATTGGGAAATCCGGGTTGTGGCCTTTGGTGTACCTGTGCTTTCAGTCAAACTACAGTCGACCTTCAAAGAAACAGGGCTTTTACCTAAGAGAGAGTTTGGGGATGGTGGATCCATTAGATGCACCTTTCTTTGCAGGGTCGCAGCTGGGATCCGGCGCAGCTCTCCAGAACTACTCAAGGGCTGACAGCTCTGCTTTTGTCCCTGAAGAAGTGCCCCATGATTCGGTACCAGCTCTCCTCCGAGCCAGCAAAGAGGCTGGCCGAATGTGTCAAGGTACAGGGATGTGAATTGGATCCAACAGGACACTTAAATTGTGTTTAGTTTTTAAAGCAGTGATGCATTTGGGGGAAATACCTTTCTTCAGAGGATTCGTGGTCTGCTGTTTACTGATTGTGTGGCTGCAGGCAGGTGTCATGCCTTGTCTCTGCCTGCTCCCATATCAAGACACATATTTCCCGGGATTATGAGAAATGTCAGTAGATAACCTGATGCCTTTTGAGAGCAGATATTATTTCTTCATTATTATTATTTCTTCATTTCAAGATAGCAGCACAGCTTGCTTTTCACCAACTCTTTAATTCTTGTCCACTTGAATCCCAACTGAAATGAAACCTTTTTGGGGTGTACCTAAGACCAAATGCCTCTTTCCTTCTCCTTCTCAACAGCAAGTGATCACTAAAGAGTATGAGCTGTTTGACTTTCGGCGCACGGAGGTTCCTCCTTTACTGCTTATTCTGGACCGGTCTGATGATGCTATCACCCCACTTCTGAACCAGGTGAATCATCTCTCAGTCGTGCAAGGGGCTGGAGATAGGAATGCAGGCTCTGGAAGTTCACAGAGCCATGTGGAGGTTGGACTCTCCTTTTAAATCCCTGTCTGATCTGTGACCTGCTTTTCAGGCTGTTGACACGGATTGTTCTGGCTTTGGTGGCAGATGCAGCCAGCATCCTGGAAAATCAGGCTACTCACACTTCTGTAAACTGTATTTAACATTTAGAGACCTTGTATCTTGGCAGTTTCCTCTTCAAAGATTTATTTGTAACGCCTGTTTGGCAGCACTGTTAGGCATTTATGGAGTGACCTTGCACTCTTGTTTCTCCCTCTGTTACTGATGGGTGGAAGAATTTATGACGTTGATATTGTGATAGTTTTCTTTGCTGCTTTGTAACTGTAGCGCAGATTCTGGCATCAAACAGTCTGTTATTTGTCCCCTTTCATTTCCGTGGGGATGCTCAGCTGAAACCCATGTTTTAGAGTGGTCTGGGCACCCCCAACTCAGGCTTGGGGTGTAGAGCTAAGGACTGCACTCAGCACGGGGCACTGAGAACATTATCTGCTGCATACAGATTTCCTCCCAGAAAAAAAGAGATTCAGGTGAGCATAAATGGAGTGTCAGGCATGTCAGCACTCCGATCACCTTCCACTTTTCTCTGTAGATTAATATTAGGCTTCCCAGGATAAATTTAGTAACTCCCTGATGTGCAGAAACACGCACTCCTACCACTGTGTTAAGAAGCACAGGAGCATGTCAGAATGGTGCAGTCTGTAACTGTGGAAACTCTGCTGCCAAAAATACATGGCACTTCTCAGGCAGAGGATGGGGGGATAACGTGGCAAATAGAAGTGTTTGAACGGGACTATTAATCCCCATCACTTTACTTTTAGAGTCGTGTCTTGGGAATGTCAGCAAGCGCCGCAGAATGGGCGTGATTTTCCTATGTGTTTGTGCAGCACTTGGCACAACGGGATGCCCTTCTGACTGTAGCAAAGTAATACTTATTTCTTGCTCTAAAATGTTGGCATAGGTTGTGGGACACACTTTGGATCCGTTACGTGTTGCCAGAGGAGTGTAAACTGGTTTTGTATGAGCTCAGCCTGAAATCTATTAATTTTTCAGTGTCTGTTCTGTTGCTGAAATCACAGTTTGCCTTTTTCTTTCACCGTCCTCATTAGTGGACGTACCAGGCTATGGTTCATGAATTGCTGGGCATTAACAACAACCGTATTGACCTCTCTCGGGTACCTGGGATAAGCAAGGACCTCCGAGAAGTGGTTCTGTCGGCCGAGAACGACGAGTTCTACGCCAACGTAGGTGTCTGTCTTATCCTGGGAATCTCCCATGTAGCGGAATTTGGGGATTGAGATCCATTCTCGGCTCTGCCATGAAACTCTATGTCTGAGGGAGGATCTTTCTGGCATTTGGAGCATCAGTGATGCTGTGCTGAATGGTTTATGCTGGTGATGAAGACCGTGTAATGCGAGTTGGGGGTCTTGGGGAGGTGATATGCAGTGGAACTGCAGTGTAAATCAAGACTGAAAAACCTTGAGTGCTTTCTCTTAGATCTGTGTTTTGTTCCATGCAGAACATGTACCTGAACTTTGCGGAGATTGGCAGTAACATCAAGAACCTTATGGAAGATTTCCAGAGGAGGAAACCTAAGGAGCAGCAGAAACTGGAATCCATAGCAGATATGAAGGTACATGTGGCTAAGGGGAAAGATTCCTTCTGCTCTGAGGGCTGATAGACCATGCAGTGTCACTGCAGGGAAGTCTACCAGCCTGCTGGTCCTCACTGCTTTCTGAGTGCGCTTAGAGCTTACAGGAATCCAGAAGTTCTACAGCTGAATCACTAAACTTGAGTCTAAGCACTTAGCTAAACCCAATATGACTGTGCTGACTCCACATCTGAACGGGGGGTCACTTGGCAGCAACTCAGACCACAGGCAATTATCTCAGTCTGTGCTCAAGATTTAAGGATCGTGGCAGACTTTGTGGGCTGTTTCGCTTTCCTCGAAGAGTAAATAAAAATTAGATTCCTCCCAAAAATCTCCTTATAACTGGAAAAGTCCTCTGGGCTCCTGGGATAGAGGTGCCCCACCAACAGGCTTTCACAGATGCAAAATGCTGGATGTGTGCAAATCAGTGGCAAATTGCTTAGGCTCCCTTACTGTCTCTTGCTTTAAAGAACTTGTTTTGCCATCGCAGGCGTTTGTGGAGAATTACCCCCAGTTCAAGAAGATGTCGGGCACGGTATCGAAGCACGTGACGGTGGTGGGAGAGCTCTCCCGACTGGTTGGGGAGCGGAACCTGCTGGAGGTGTCCGAAGTGGAGCAGGAGCTGGCCTGTCAGAACGACCATTCCAGCGCGCTCCAGGTACCTCTGCTCCAAACCCACCCTTGCTCCTTTCTCTTTCTGCCCAGTTTGATCCTGCAAACGCCCCTGTTGATGAATCCCAATCCTGAATATCAATGTGAGTTCTGCATGCAGCTATCCCGCAGGGTTGGGGTGTTGCACATTAGAATTACTCTTCTCCTCCCCGTTCAGTTCAGATGAGGATGAATCATAGTTAATAACTGGCTTGAGAAGCATCTTTGCAACATCTGTCTTTACGTTTCACAACACGGCATTCCTCCCTTGGATTCTGGCAAGGGGCTTGTGCAGCCATCACCAGAACAAAACTTGGGCTCCTGTGTAGGAGCTGGTTGTATTTGTTGGGGAGGGGAAAATGGGATCCGTGAAATTGGCTAAACTAGACTGTTCTTTTGGGTGGTGGCTTTTACTTGTGTTTTTTGCTTTCTTTTTGTTTTGTTTTCTTCAACAGTGAAAAGCCTCTTAGATAAAGGCTTTCTTTAGCAAAAAGCACTCAAAAAGCCTAAAAGAGACTTCTGTTGGAGCTGAGTATAGGCTGAAGTTTTGACCCTGTGATGGCTGGCTGGATTCTGTGACCTGACCTGTATCTGACAGTATGTCAATAATGATGAATTATGGCTGCTGACTATCCAGAGATACAGCAGTTTTACTAAGAATGACCATATTTTTGCAGAATTCAACCAGCAACTCAATATTAAAAAACAATTCCTTATTTTTTATAGCTAAAATAGAAGCTGCACCATGTAATGGCCTCCCTTACGAAATACTAGAGAAGTGCTCTGACTATAGCATCTTCAGCACATTTGAAATACATTTGTTCCTTGCCTGTGTTGTTCTGTGCCCCGAGTGGGTGGCTAAGTGACAATATTAGCTCTTCAAGTACCGTCGTCTATTGCCAGATCCTGAGCTGATGTGAATCCCTATAGGCTTGGTGAATTCATTGCAGAGAGCTCAGGAATGGTTCAATAGCTTCTATTTGGCAGAATTTAGATGACAAAGTCCCAAAGTGGAAGTGAAGCCATAAAATGCATTTGCTGAAGACAGTCGTTGAGGTTCCCTTGCCCTGTCATTGCTTCTAGATGAAGCTTATACAGATTAAAAGTCAAATATTGGATTTCTCACCTCCCTGTCAGCCCACCACGTGTGCTGTGATGTGTTATCCGTGATGTCACGGGCAGGAATTCTGCTAGAGACTTGACACTGCGCAGAACACGAGTGTTGAAACTTGGGCACTTGGCATTGGAGCCCATTTGGGAAAACGCTGGTCTCTTTTTCTGGCTTTATGAGATTCTTGCATTCCCTGAAGAGGGGCATGACACCAGCTTCCAGGGATTCCGCAGCTGCACCGGGAGCAGCGGAACAAGCTGGGAAGAGGGATGGAGACGCTCGGCCCCCGCTGGGCTCCCCACTCTTGCAGCTCGGTTGTCACTGGATTTTGCTCTGATATAACTCAAGTCTTAGTCTACTCTAACTGGGTATCCCTGCAGGCCCTAGAGCACAGAAGCTGCTTGCAGTTTCCTTACAGCCCCATGCCTAAAAAGTTGTCTTGTGTTTCTAACAACCTCCTGCAACACATGTAGCAGCTAGAAAATAAATACCAAACCAGGGGACTAGTGTCTTGCTACATGAGAGATAAGTGTCCGCGTAGCCACGCTGCCCCGGGCTGTTCCCTCTTGGAGTCTCCTAATGGCAGTGCAGGGGAAGGGCCGCAGAAGCGATGGAAATAAAGGCCGAATTGTTCTGCCACTGATGCAACTTCAGCAATTGTTAATTTCTGTGGTGGCCTTGGGCCCCTGCGTGCAGTACATTTTGGTTATTCTTTTCCCGGTCTCTTATTAAGCCTGACATTGTACGTGAGCCTTGGGAGATGAATGGGAGGTTTTGAGTCCCATCTCCTTCGATGGACAATAGCTTTTCTGTTTTACTCCCAGCTTATCTAGGCATTGCCGCTGTGCTGCTAGCACAGATCCAAAATCCTGCAGGCAGCATCTCCGTGAGCCTCTGCCCCGTCCCTACGGTGACATCCGTGGTAAAACTCCTGTTGGTCCCGCTCAAGGCCACGGCTTTCCCTTGTATTTTTTCTGGCTAGCAAGACAAGTTTCAGCAGGTCCAGCTGAAGCCGTTAGTAAATAACAACCGTTTCACAAGGCTGGTTCACAGCGCGGCTCCTTGAGCGTTCCCTGTATTGGGAGGGCAGGAACATCTTGCAAGGACACCCTGGGATTTTGTGGAGCACTTCAAGGTCACATACGTTTGGAGTGGAAAAAATCCTGGCCGGTTCTAGTCCTTTCGTGGAACTGCCATGCTGCTTCCAGCTGTAAAACTGGCAGCTCTTCTGCTCTCTTGCATTTGAGCTAATATGGGCTGTTTTGCTTCAGTGTTCAGCCCAGGACTCGGCAAAGCCTGGGATTCTCCCTAGAGCGTCGCTGCAGCCCTCGCCAGCTGTGTCTACGCGCGTTCGGGAGTTGCTGCCTGTTCTTTGCCTCTCACAGTGCGGTGCCGGGTGCTGGTCGCTGGGCTCCCGTGACTGCAGCCCTCGCCAGCTGTCTCTATGTGCATTCGGGAGTTGCTGCCTGTTCTTTGAGGTGCCTCTCGGAGCACGGGGCCGGGTGCTGGTCGCTGGGCTCCCGT